TGCATACCATCCCCACTTTGTAGAGCTGTGTCGTACTAGACGGTAGCCCCTAGGGCTGCGATTGTTCAGCGTCCCTTGTTGACAAAAAGTTGTTTTTATTTTGTTGTTGTGTTGATTGTTATAGAATATTGTTGCTGTTTTGTTTCTATTGTTTGTGTTGGTTGAAATTTGTAGAGACTGTGATCTAGCAAGATATAGACTGATATCAAGCAATTTCGCACTTCTTTGACTACCGCGCTGTGGACTGGCGCAACGCTACAATGTTTTATATTTATAGTAAGCGCATCCATAAAATTCATCCTACTTCTTGTGGTTGAGTATAAACCCAAGCGTTCTTCTACACACATTTTCTCGGTTTGTGTCATGCAATAGGATTTTTTTCGTCAGTAATTAGAAATTGAAGCTAACTTGCCTTGTACACATGAGCAATGACTAAGAAGTGGTCCATCCTCTAGTATTCTCGGTATATGGAAACAGAAGTTGAGGGATGAAAAACGAAATAGTGGAAAAACGGACACGCAATTCGGTCCCGGCGCCGCAATATACCCCCGGCGATCCAGCATGGCCCTCTCCGCGGCGCTATCGGTAAGGTACGCCTACCGACTAGCTAACCACTCGCCGCAAGCTTTTGCTGTTCGGCATAGAGTGTTAATGTTGAAGAGGGCACCACCAATGAGAGTCGCATCACGCAGAAATTAACTAGCCAAGAAGGAGTCCTGTTTCTCGAAATCTGGACCGTTTCTCGCGATTTTTCTTCATCCATACAGCGCTATCCACTTCTATTCATTTCTAATGGCTGCCTTTTCATCGTAAACCCCGCCTTTAGCTTACCCCAGACATACCTGTCCCTCTACGATGGAAAACACCGCGAAGCACGCTATGAATGTCGTGACAAACAGACGCACACAAGCATAGACATACTTAGCAAATTAGATATAGTGGGATATTTTCACCGAAGTTCCCTTCTGAGAGAAGGTGATGTTTAACTCCTTCAATAGCACCACCAGTGAAATTTGTGGTGGGGTGGGACAAAATACAGAGAGAATCAGTCGACACCACTATTGAATGGTTGCAAGTACAGGTACATAATTTAGTTGCCGACCAGCCCCCGCGAGACCGTGGAGGAGTTTCCGTTGACGGCGCGCAGGTGATGATACCTTCTGTTGTTGTTGCTTTCGAAAACGTACCCCACTACTGACACCTACCAACGCGGGGTATTTTATAACCGTGGTCCAGAATTCTCCGACGCACACCAACTCTGGTTTTCTGTGAGTAGGAATTTAAGATTTTACAAACCCACGTGATTTTTGTGGTAAACTGGCAAAGTGAGGTGCGTTTAGTGACCCAAATGGATTCGCCCTTGTCATTTCTTTGAATCAAGAAAAAGTTTACACTGGCTACGAATCGTTATTTAATTCTCTACATTTCTTCTTTGCCACTTCAGATGGCGAAATCGTCTTTGTGAAAGGTGCCACGAATTATTCGCGATATACTGACATGGATAAATTAACGGTCGAGCATTTCTCGACGGGGTCGTTTTTGTCACGGCGGTGGAAGAGGGTGATTATTTCGGAATTTAGGATGTTTTGAGTGCGTAAAACTTGCTGACACAATGCCTTTCTCTTCTTCCTTCCTATTAAGATCCTCGACGGCGATCTTGGAGGAAGTTCGGGTTGGAGTTTGGAGAATTTCGGCCATTTCGGATGCCGCAGTGGTAAAGGCCAGTTCCCGCGACACCGAATGATCTGATAACAGGGCTATGTAAGACATTACGCAGACCATGGTGGGTGGGTCTACTGTCGGCGGTCCATTTCCTCACACGTGATTCCGCTGACACGAACCCATCGCTTATCTAGCTCCGGCAAGCTTTGATTTAGGCAACCACAGTAGAGGATCCATTCAAGGACTCATAATTCATGGATAGAAAATCACTAGCCACTTGACAAAGTGCTAATGTTGTGAGTACCACTCCAAGTACTGCCATGGGTAACATTCCGTGGCAATTCTAGGGATCAAAGGTGGGTGGTTAGCTTGCTCCAATGGCAATCTGGCAGTGAGTAATTTGAACGGTAAGCGCGGGAAAAAGGCCAACAGCGCGCGAAAATCTCGAAAACCACGCGTATCGACGCAGGTGTTGTTCGTGTGCGGTGCCTCCTCCATGTTATTTTTGCTGTTTCTCTTCCTTCTTTTTGATGTTGAGCTGTTGTTTCGAAGTGTTTCGAAAGCTTTGGGGTCAAGTGTAAGTAGTTGGGAATTGATGCAGGCTATATTTGCTAGTGAAGTACATCCATTTACTGGCAGTGTTTCATTTGTGTTACTTCAAATAGACTAAGCTTGCACACGGATATGCAATACTGTGCTTAACAGTGGTGACAATTGACTTCTATTCCAGCCAGCCGAAATGACGAAGTCATGAACACTATGGTTCCGTCTACTCTGATTTTCTAACGCATTTCAGATATAGACCTTCACAATGCGAGGCGCAGTTGGCAAGCGCTGCACTCCTTAAGAAAATTATTGAAGCAATCAAGGCTAGTAATTCTGGTGCCCATCAAAGTTCCGTGAATAAGGGCTTTTGTTTTAGGACCTCGTAACTGATGCGCCCTTCGATTGTTCTGAGTCGGCAATGTGTCTTCAAGCCATGGATTCTTCACATGTGGCGCTTGTTTCACTGAAGATGAGTATGGTTCAAATTCTTACTCAATAACTTAAGTCAGGTCGAAGGCTGAAGTGCTGTAGTGGCAAGTGTTTGCTGGCTACGCATGTCACGGTCCCGAAGATAAATCTGGGTCAAGACTCAACTAGGCAAATCAAGCTTCCATGCTCGGAGCCGCCTTGTGGTCAGGAAGATCACGGCAGCCAGCGCGGGCCCTGCGACTGCGGGAATACGCATTTGCGATGTGAACATGGCTAAGTGCTGATTTCTAGCCTTGGAAAATCAGTTGATTCTGAAAGGGTTGCGATAGTTACCAGGTGCACGGTCCAGGGTTCAAATGTTGTACTGTGCGGGGCTAGGTTGAGCCAACCTTTATTCTTTCCGGTTAAATGTCATCAGACTTGTTTGAAGGAGAAGAACACTGACTTGTGCATAGGCTGCGCGTTCCCCTTTCGTCCCAATCGCATACGGCTGTCGAAGCGGGACTGAAAGTCTCTAAGAACTGTGGCTGAATGCAATATGCGTGATGCATTCCAGAAGAGATAGACCAACGCCGTATACTTCATGCTTTAAGTTTGTGTAAAGACCTGAACCACGTAGGCCTTATATTGTCCACATTCTTCGCGAAGGAAGCTGGTTTTGTTTGATGTATTTGACATTTGCGGTGGGCCAAAAGTCCCGTAAACATCGAATACGGAAAACTTCGATCATTGCGATATATGTTATTAGCAAACGAATCACTGGTTATGGGAAACACTTAAAAAAATGCCGATACACATGCACAACGACGGTCATAATGGGTCAAATATCTACTACAGTGGTGGCAGCGTGCTCAAGTAACTGTAAAAAACATATATTTTATGAAAGCCTGCTTTATCTTTGATTGAAGGTAGCTTTGGGAAAAAACTCTAACTCCCCTTTCCGTTCAGTTGCACTGCTTGGTTGGAACAGCTTGGCAAATTATGACTTCAGGGGTGGAATTTCTTGATTCCTAAAACGAAAATGAAGTGGTATGATGTAGTAGTTCTGTAGGCTAGTGATTCAGAACACAGCCTCTTCTTAGGTGTTATAGCGGTGACCCATGTGGAGAATGAATGTGCACGAATTATCTATGTAGTTTCTTTAGACCCCACAGATTTAGGAACGGAAAGAATCCGCGCGGTGTTTCCATTCATTCTGACATCTGGTTGACATCAGTAAGTAGCATCAAAAGTTAAAAGAAATGTTCAGGTTGGCCTTTTTGATACCTATCGATGTGATAGGACAATAAACCTCGGAATGTCGTTGGCGAACATGTCGAAAGCATTGAAATGTGCTAATAATGACGACACTTGTATGATCAAGTATGAGGAAGGCGACAGCGATAGTATTACCTTCACATTCGCTGATACTAAGCAGGACACAAACACGGTAGCTCCCTTTTTACAGGTGTTAGTGTTGGCATAGTAGAAGAGATCCCCACATGGGGGTTTTTTGTTGGAATAGTGTTCTTGTGCACTGTTTTGTAGGCTCTGGTTTGTTTCAATTTATGGTCATTAAGTAATGGCAGCTTTTTAGGACGTTACTGTCAAAATGATGGACTATCGACAGTGCCCATGCTGGGTATCCTAGAGCAAGATATGCGTTGGTGCGCAACTGCCCGCGTCCGAGTTCCAGAAGACCAGCAAGAGTGACCATGTTCACCAGACCACATCTCATGTTACTGCTACTGAAGGTTGGTTTACTTTTTGTTGTAACCCGTGCCACTATTCATCACTAACAGTGGTTTTGCAGCTGGTAACGTTTTCTCCGGAAAAAGGTCGACCATGGGCAGTCAGCGGATACCTACTCCCCAATAGTAGTCGCGGATAGCGCCAGACGATGTACATTTTTATCAGTCTTTTTACATTCAGGTGTATAATAGTAACATCAGGGGAACCTGCCCGCTCCAATAGTTTCTTAATTTAATCTTGTTATCTAGGCGTAACCCTGGGGGGACAGATCCGCATGTGAACTTCTCATCAAGTAATGAATTCAAGGTTCACGAAAGCTTCGCACGCTAGGCCGTGTCGTATATCACCGAGCAAATTTGACGTGCCGCATAGTTTGTGAGTAAGTGTTTACATGTAAATCTCTTCGAATCATGGCATTATTCTCCACTAAGTGAGAAGATAGAGGGAATGAATGAGATTGTGTTTTCTAGATATCCTTTAACTGATGATGGGAAGTCCACCGGCCAACAAAACGGTCATCTTCGGTTCTACTTGGCCCCGAAGATTGATGAAGAAGAGAACATGGATTAAGTTGGAATTGCCGTCGCATTACGCGCTACTAGTGTCACAGTTAAACACATTTTTACACATTTTTCTTGTTTTTTGTCATGTTTCTATGTTTTAACAAAGCCTCGTAGCTCTTTCTTTGTTAATTTCGGTGTTTGTATAAACTGGATCTCACAGTATTACATGAATTTCAAGGTGTGAGTCTTCAAATGTTAACCGAGTAGTTCCTGTATATCAGATGAAAATATTTCAGTGCAATTAAAGTTTTCGTCTATCTGTCACTTAGTAGACCGTGAAAAGTGTGAAAAATGGCCATGGCCACCCGGAAGCCTTTCCTTGTCAGTCGTACTTGATCAAGAACATCTGCGAATCATTTTTGAAATCTAGTTTGAGAACATTGGTCGTAGCAAGGGTTAGTCCGTAACAGAATCTCATTCTTCTGAAAACGTTGTTAGTCAAAGGTTTATGGGTGTTAAGTTTTTACTTCACACCTATAAACCTTAGTATTCCGAAGTATTTCACGTTATTTCATGCGCTTTTTGATTTCTTGTCGATTGGTGGTCTTTTGGGGTCAGTTTGAGAAGGACACAATATCTCGCGCTTGAATGTGATTCACCCATACTGACTTGCGAAGTGGTCGATACACAAAGAAGTGTTTTTGCTTGTTGTTTGTTATTTTATTCGGGAAAACCTGTTACCAATTAGTCGATTGGCGGGAAGAATGGTTTGGTTGGTCTAGGCGTGTCGATCCACGCAGACGTTGTAAGCGAGGCCACTTGCCTCTGAACCTCGGCCCCATAAATCAGTTTATGTTTGTGGCAAACTACGACTAGAACTACCATATGTTTCTCAAAAGAGTTGTTTGCATGCCAAAGCTGAAATCTTACTGCTTTCACATTCTTAAGCAGTCAAATCTAGTGAACAGACTGATTGCTCTGCGACTGACAGACTGATTTCTTTGAAATCCCAATTTTCAAAATTCCATTGATTTTTAGTGATGAGCGGTACTTTCTTGTGCTTTATAGTAGACATTCTGGATTGTTCATCAGCGTTCAGCCGTCATGTTCTCGAAGGGGATTTAATGAAGGGGGTCCTGCCTGCTAGTGTTTTTGATCTGCTTCGTCTGTTTGTCCTTCTCCATTTGTCTGCCACAAAATTCGTGATCAACTATAAAACAAACTACTTGAGGAGGCTGGGCCAACTTTGAGGCGGGCGGCTTTCATGTTCCTAGAGCCAAGAACACAACAGGCAAGCGGAGTTCCGTCTAGGGGCTTGCAACGATAATACTGTTCCGACCGCGAAAAATTTCTAAATCGTTCCAGAAAAGCCCAAAGGAAAGGTGAGTAAGTACCCCCCTCTCACACCCTCTGGTTTACGGACTACTTGATTTTTCCTCAATGGTCCTGCCGCGATGGCTAGAGCACAGACGATTAGAGAACGGGTGAATGCCCTAGGACTAAGCCTTGGAGAGGAGAGGGACCCGCGAGAGAGCGCAGAGGCGGTTTAAAGGGCTGAGTTCAAGTAGTCCGTCGACCCACCCCGCTCGAAAACGTGACGCCCTACTAAAAATTTATGGCTCGGCTTTCGGGGTACAAAGTGTGCGAAGAAGATTGGCTCAGAAGAGCAGCACATGAGGTGTACAAACTCACTTGAGGTGATCAGAGCCCCGCCCACAATGGACGGGGCGTGTTCTTGAGTGGCCGATGTTCCCTTCCTGCTCGGTTCTGAAGTGAAAAAAGTGGGTCGAGGCTAGCGAAGAAGAGTAGCCAAAAGTTGAGATACGCGGAGCTGAATCGGGGTTCCACTTGCACCGTTCCATATGCTGACCCAAAGACCCCTCTTTAGACCTTGGCGGTTCTCTGCTCATAGCTCTGTTTTCCTGCCATTAGTGGCCAGAAGAGGCTTTTGAGCGGTCTTCCACGGTTGAGTTAACTTTTTGAATGGGTACGCTCAACACTCATTGTTTTCACCACAGCTGACTAGTCTTCTTGAAAGGTCTATAAACCAGCCATAAGCATGACCCGCCTTTTTGCTATACGGCAATAATTTCGGGTCCACCTGATGAGGGCTATCTGTCGTTGTCGTTGTCGCCGTCGTTGCTGACAGGAACAGGAAACGAGGCCAAATCAGCTTAAGGGCTAGTGAATGGCCAAGATGCATATGGCGCATTACGCACTTTTTCACGCCGAAAGAACGATGACAACGATGACGACAATCTTCGAGTTCTCTCGTGATCGTTCCATCATTCTAAACGAATTGTTTGGCCAATATTCTCAATCAACCTGCTATCGCTTGAGGCCATTCACTAAGGCCGTCAATCCCACTGAGATTTCCGGGGGTGGATAACGGCGGTACTTAAGAGAACGAAAGAATGGAATCAGGATAATTTCCATGCTTCTCTGGGAACCTTCGTCTACCAAGTTTGGGTCTTTCGTCGTAGTTTTTACTCTTCAAATGGAGGAATAATGGACCTGTTTTCTACGCCATGCACGCGACTTCTACCCTGAATTATAGTGGACTTTCAAACGAGATTCCGCCCCATAAAAAGCTTGTGGCCACCTGGTGTGGACCTGCTATACTAGTCTAGCTCCAATTTGTGGACCACGATTATGAATTTGGTTGACCTTGACGGGATCGTCGGTCGTTGGTTTTGATCACATGAGGTAAATAAAGGCAAAGCGCCTCCGCTTACTGAGCTATTTCTTCTCCTTTCTCAAA